CCAATACACCTCGCTTCCTGTCTGCTCGTCCGGAAATATATATATATATATATATATATATATATATATATATATATATATATATATATATATATATATATATATAGCGACTACTGCTCAGTCTCAATCATGAGCGGTTACCTATTGCCGTTAGACATGTGGTCCTCCTGACAAAATAGAATGATTTTCCAGCTACTAGCTAGGTTCCGTGCCTATTCGAAATTGGATCCTTTCGATAACTACTTTAACCTCTAAGCCTTTATGGCATGCCACTGTTATCCGCGGCATTGCCTTGCTATTGTCACTGTAGTATTTTGATGTGCTCATGTATTTGACTGCTGCTCTCTCTTCGTGTAAATGTTGTCTCGAGTACGCTGTCTTACCCAGCAACGCTCCCATATCAGCCGGGTCAGATCCCACTACTGTCGTACCTTTTATTATACTCTTTCTTTTTGTCACTCTATAAGACCTTCAAAATGAGGAGGCGGAACAGAGCCGTTCATGATGTCCCCAGTCACTTATTTTAAGGGAAAAGGATATCTTTTATGCGGTTCTATTTTCATGATGAACTCTAGCGAGCATTTTCCATCAACTCACATCCAATCCCAGGAGTCAGCACATGAGGTTTCCAGATTCCCACGGCAGTTATCTGAGACTCCTTTCAGCAGCAGGCGCTATCCCGGTCGTAATTTTTGAATCTGCGTACCATTCCTGGGAGGCCTTTGGAGTGGTGCAGCCCAGTTATACACCCTTTTGTTATTAACAACATATCTTCCAATCAGCAGATGATGTGTGCAATTTTGTATCGTGATGCGGTTAATCTACGTCACCACCACTGCCATCAACGCAGTATTGTGGTTCCTTCCTTTCAACACACACTCGATCTCATCATTGAACCTCTTCACTGACGCTTTGGGACAAGCGTCCAGGTTTGAAACGATACTCGAATCGATTCCGCACTCTATCGCTGTTAATCTATGACGGTGACAACGCGACTCACATGCACTGTATAGCTGAACCCACCTTAGCTTCATTCATTGAATAGGACGCTAATCTACGCCCTACTTTTTACCTGGTTGCTATACTCCTATAACCAGACTAAACCCACTAGACAGACTATTTTGCGTCAATCTACCTCTCCTTCGATGCACTCTCTACTGCTTTCCTCCATCCATGCACCGGCTCAACTTGATCACATGCGTGGGCCGTGTAACTTTTTTACTCGTATGTACATGACACTTTTCTTGAACTTCACGGGGCGGTGGTTCAGGTGTTTGACCGCGAACCCTATTCGCCCTGGGCGTAAGTTTGGACGCTCCGGCCCAGCCCGTGTACAGGGGTTTACGTGTGCACTACAACAGCGCATCGTTTATTGCGCTTGTTATACGATACTCGTTGATACTTCCAGGGTTTTAACGTCTACCTGTTCCCTTATATGTTCCCCAGACTGCATTTTCAGTGAACCCGTCTTGCATTGGCTCCAGCTTTCTGTGTTTATTCATTATCAATGAACAATCAGCTTGTTTACCAATTCCTTATGTACCATGAAGCAACCCATCTAGAGGCTTCAGCGTTTGATGCAGGTGCTTGTGCAGATTGGCTTACTTTTTGTTTGTTACGAGATATTTTCCTGTTATGCGGTTTACTGATTATGCACATAATAGTTTGAAACCCAGCTTTCACTTTTTGGATGCGCGCTGTTAGTTTGGGCTGCGACATATAATCTCAGTTTTGGCTATGACTTACACGATTGGAATATCGTAGCACATCACTTGATATCAGAACGAATTTCTAGGGTCATTGTGCTATATTTATACGGCGTTTATGCTGACTGATGGTGTCAACCAATTTCCGACTCGATAGTTAGAGGGGAGAAACTACAGTCCAACCTGCTATGGCGACCACCTGTCTATGGTGGCCAGTCCACAAAGGAACACAACTCAGATCACGGACGGAACAGAGATTCGGTTTCCAATCGATAGCGCTAACCCCAACAAGGCAGATGACAAAATCTCTGAACGATATCTATTATGATGATAACTCTGGCGTCGTCAACAAAACACTCGTGAGTATTTAAAGGTCTAGGTAGAAATTCGTCACTCACTCAGACAGCCGTCGCACGCTTGACAAAGCACTGTACGCGCGTTTCATCCTTTCGGGAATCATCAGCAGTGCGCATTCCATCGGACCCTGGCAGGGCTCGAACCCGCAACTCGACTGTTGCTAGTCCGTGGTTGAGACCACTGAGCTATGGGGGGACGGCAACGACCGTCGTAAATAAGTTGATTGATGTGATATAGCGTCGCTCACTATCCACTGACACGTTACTGTCGTGCAGAGGACAGGGTAGCCCCCTCACCAAGCGACGAGCTTACCAAACTTAACTTACGACATTGTAAGCGGTTTGGTCTGCGTACTGATTACTGAGGAGTAGTAGGGGGAGTTGTATGGTATACGTAGCAATTATTCACATCTAGACTCACTCAGACAGCCGTCACACGCCCTGAGAAGTTCTGTACGCGCTTTTCATCCTTTTGGGAATCGTCAGCAGTGCGCATTCCATCGGACCCTGGCAGGGCTCGAACCCGCAACTCGACCTTTGCCAGTCCGTGGTTGAGACCACTGAGCTACGGGGGGCGGCAACGACCATCGTGAATAAGTTACTAGATGTGATATAGCGCCGCTCACTATCATTTAATGGTCTGCCAATGGCTCTGTGAGACTGGCCGATCACAGTCCGGGTCAAAGGCGGGAACGGATTTGCGCGCGCCGTTTTAACAATTCAAAGTGACGGTTAATAAGAACTCCACACTGTTTGATTCCAGTGTAATTCTTTTGAAATCCCGCGTTTTCCGAACTGCTGACGCTCTGATCTTGTCGTGATTGCGTTGGTGTGCCTACGTTCCGATTCGTCTTCTCAGTTGGCATATATATCTGAGCCACCTTAGGTGTAGCGGCATCAGTTTACAGTCCATTCCGTACATACCGCTACGGCAAAGCGCTCTAGTGTCAGGAACTATATAACATCACTTGATCCACTGGATCGAACGCAGACACTGCTGATGAAATCGTTATGACTGTTGGGTGTTTTTGTGTACCGCTCATCCTTCTCTACCATAGAGAACGACTGACAGGACCATGGGCTTGGCTCCAGTGATGGGCTTATGATTCCTCTATATCCGATGTTCAAACTTGCCAAAAACAACACTCGTCGTCCGTTGTATCTCTGCTCTTTGTCTGGTGTTCAGTTTAACCCACCCCTGGGGGAAACGAAAGACAAGACTCGCCAGACCTGGGCATTTTCTTGATTGAGAAATAGTTGTATGTATAGGTCAGGTACACGTACTCTTCTCTGCCTTCTAATCCGAATGCACGTCCTCACACTGACTGGCGATCCCCATCAGCTTACGTCCGCGTGTACTCGTGGTCTCTTGTATCTGGCTGCCTACGGGCACGGCCAATCATAATCTCGCTCACGCTGGCGTTGGCGGAGTGATTTCGTCAGCTCGCGCTAACCACACGACAGTCCGTTCCATCGATGGTGAACTGATTTTTTCATCTACCCGTGTGGCCTGCCGTCAGCTAACTTCACTTCCTAAAGCGTGCCTCAGTGTTCATCCCTTGCGACCAGAGAACAACTTTAGTACACGAGCGCGCTCGCAAACTTCTGTTGGGTTTAGTAAAATCTCGTGAACGATTTGTGCTTGAGCGCATCACACAGACTTCACTCCTGGTGGCAGCTGAAGAAGGCGTACACTGTTCGAGCTGGACCGACATGGAAGTAAGAACCGTCGTTACACGTATGGACTCACAGCTTCAAGCGATTTACACTTATCTACCAGCTGCTTTCGAATGGTCGTTCCATGCATTTGCTTTCTCTCCCGGGAACATTCCGTTATTGGGGCGCTTGAGACGAACGCCGTATTTACATACGTTTAGATGCACAGGACAGCATGGTAGCTGGCTGCTGTTGTGGGAATTCGTGTCACTGGGATGCAGCCCTGTCCTTTGCAACGTTCGTAACTTGTAATGCAGCTGGGTGAATGTTAAGCAAATTAAATGGTTGAGCCCAGTCTTGTTTCACACCAGGAGTGACATTTCCTCTAAGCTGCGTCTTTTCGGAGTAGATCAAGAGTCATCAGCTTACAAGCTAAAACAAAACATGCCAAATGGCGATCTTTGTGTGTGCTCGTTCACTCGCAGCTATTTACATGGTGGACTGAACTTCAAGCGTGCTAGCTCTTACAGCCAGTCCACCAAGTGTGCAGTTTGATCGGTTTGAGTAAAGCATACGTTCATTAAGCTAGTCTACCGTTCTCGTTTTATTAGTGCCCATACTGGTTTTTGATTGAGCATATCCTGTACTTTATCGCTGTGCTTGAATCGTGTACACCTGTACTTGGCGTTTGCATCTTAGTGCTAGACGTGAATGCGTTCGATGCGCTTGTTTACAAAGCGCATATTCATTCGATGCCGCCCCTCCTGTTAGTTGCTTTAGAAGGTTACTAAGCAGTGTTAACGAAGACGCGTTGTACATTGTTTTCTCACAGTACTATGCTCAATAAGTGACTCCACAGTGGAACGGGATACAACCTAACCACTGGCCCGTGTTCAGCTGGCGTGCTTCTTCAAACCTTACATTAATGATGTGTGTTGTCGCTCGGGTCCAATCTGAATCAACCGTGGCTTCTGCTCTTATTTTTCCGGGTTCGCACTGGAATTGAGCAGTGTCCGGTGAAATTCAAACCACTCATAGTTACTCTGTAGGCGCATGCGTAATTACTCAAAGTAACCAACGAATTTGGAAGCGTATACCGCCAGTTGTGTTAAGTCTATTGTGTACGGTCCACTTTTCTGGAAGTAACGCATGTCTTCACTTTTTCGCCATGTCTTTGTGTGTCGCATATGACATTGCCATTTCCCATTATGCACACCAGTTCATCCGTTGTTCACCTGTTTTCAAGGCCCACTCGTTTCGATCACTCTGTTTTTCTACTTAGGCTGAAGAGCTTAACAACATCGTCGGCGAGGCGTTCCGGATGGCTTACGCACAGCAGCAAATGGCTCTTTTGTCTCGCCAATTGCAGCACACATCCATCTCCCCACAACCCGCTCCGTGTCAATCGGCTACGTCTGCGCCGCTCGCCAGCACAGGTCACGATCCGTCACAGCCTTGTCCGGTGCCAAACGGTGTCCTTGTCCCAGCACCAGAGACTGAATCGGTCAGTCAGATTAGGTTAGTTTACTACACCTTATTTTCAAACGTACAACTGGATCCGTCCGACCGAGTCTGCTTGACCGACTTAGTTCAAGCTGTTCGATCCTACAGGCAAAGATAGCTTGCTTTCAACCCTAATACAGCGTTTGTGCTTTGTCCACCTTATGCTCAGGCGATGAATCGACAGACATTAAGAGAATACAATATTGAGTTTGCTAGTCCATACTAAATCGCTTCATCCAGTGAATGCATTCACTGTTGATTTCCGCGTATGGTTGGCGACATCCGGTATCGGACTTGCCTGTCACTGTGGCCAGCCACAGGACGCCTGCGCCTACAGAGGGACCATGGGTGGCTTGCGCTGCACCACCCACAGCTCCATCCACACCCCATATCCAGTGTAAATCCGAAGGAATAAGACCGGGAGGCATGTGGATGGAAGCCACGTTTCATCAACGGAGCTTGCCCACACTCATTCACAGGCAAACACAAACACGCTATATTTGAGGAATCAAGCGCACACAACGCGGTGGCTGGACCGTAGTCCGCTCCACACTGAGTGCATGGAACCACTCTTCGAGCCTAGCACGGCCACAAGGACCGTGCACCCCGTCCCCTTCAGCAACGACCAACTGTCTCCTAGAGCCAGTATGGACGAGGTAGTGGGTAATGAACAGGTAGGCACCTTGTCAACATGCACATCAAGCGCAGCCACACCTGGAATGTCAAGCAACAGCCAATCACTTGAAATGACACCATCAGATAAAATATATCTGTTAGAATACGGCCACACCGACATAACTCTTCGCTAAATTAGCATATGAATTAAGGTAATTATCAACGAATCCGCAATAAGTAGAAAATGTCCACAAGTCACCCAAAAAATACTACAAACACACTAAAGATAACGAAGATCACCACACTTAGCGTAAGCAACGAGGCCAGTTAATAGAATATTATTCAGGTAGACAGAACAGAGTAAATAAAGTGGAAGAAAATTTGTCCAACTTAAAAAGACCTAGTTTAAGTGTAAGTTGGTTTAGCCCAACTGCGATGAAGAAGCATTATGAATGGAACATCAGCCTCAGCATGAGGCACAATTTCCACGTATACTACGACTAATAATAACAATAATGCCTATATTTTTCGATTGTGCAAAAAGATGTCCCTGGATTAGGGACGGATCATGGGTACAATAATGATCGTGCTCATGCATGAGGGAGATATGCATTCTGAGATGTGATTTCAAAATATTTTGGAATCACATGGCTTTTTTGTTGCTGAGTTTTATGTCCCATCTTTTCTCACTGGTTATGTTTTTAATTGGTCCATCCTGAAAGAACTCGTATAGTGTGACTTGCTCGATGGAATCATGATCATTATCGAGTTGTGGTGCAGGAACTTTCCAAGCTAAATGCAAAATGTTCTTGCCTTTGTGCACGACCTGATTGTGGATGGTAGGCTATTCCACACGACGGCGGATCTGACGAGGAAAAAGTTGGATCGGATAGCTTTCCTGATTCTTGGCACAGTTAGTTTACATGTCTTGTTGCATAGATTCAGAGTGAAGTTATGTTGCAATTTTAGTTAGATTGGAGTATGCCTCTTGGTTTATGAGGTTATGTTTGTCGTCGCAACCAAAGGGGCTCGAGTTTAAGCTGCTGGCAGCGCTCCTGATAACTCAAGGTGATTGATTTACTGAACAAGCGCTTAGTGAATGGTCTTTGCAGGTTTTCCAAACCTTTCCTGCCACCTTTACGCATGTTCCCCTAAATCATGCTACCATATTCAAGGACAGGATGTATGAGTATTTTGAAAATCTCAATTTTGGCAGGGGTTGTATAGATTTTATGGCATATGTTAGCCGTAGATCGTTTGGCACGTTGCTCCGTGAAATTACAGTTTGAAGAGCATCGTATACGAAGATTATAGTTAGATAATTTCACACAGATGCGTTCGTTGTACAATTTAACTGACTCTTCAGGAATCGAACACCCGTGTGACGCAATGCATGATTTACCAGCTGAGAGCTTTAACAACAGTTTCCTCCATTCAGAACCTTTTTACTTGGTCTCTGAGATCCCGGAGTGGTACCCCCCCTTATCTGTTGGAACCTCAGTTCCGCAAATGAGTTTCTCAACTGTTCTCTTCACTTACCCTCGTGGTCAATACATTGTATCGCGAAAGTAGCTAGTCACGCCGCTCTGGAGCGTTGCATTGATGCTGGATGATTATCCCTGTAATCATCATCTTATTTTTGTGCCTCGGTTATCTGGTCTCGTTGTCAGATGGGCTCTTTCTGGTAATCTGTACCAAAGCCTAATGCTACCGTATGCCAGGTGTAGGGTGGCGCAAGGCTCCCGATGGACAGAAGTTGACTTGGCAGCGGGAAATGAAGACACTGACGACCAAACTTGGTACCGTTGGTCCGTCTCGTCTTCCGGGCTGGAGTACACGTGACTCGCCTTGTGCTTGGCTCGAGACTTTGCAGGACATGGCCCGCAACCGATACCAGTGGCGCGTCTGCTGCCGTCTCCTAATCGGATTGCCTGTTTAAAGTGTGTTTGGTGCTGAGTTATCTGCGAGGTAATGGCTGATTATGACGCGTGGCAGTGAAAGCCGCAAGGAAGCTGTCTCGCCGATGCCGCCTTATCTTTGCACGATAGCCAGCTGTTTGTGACGGTATGTTGTTAACAAAAGGTGTAGGCGCCTTGACCCAGAATGTTTGCTTAGGGCATTAAGGTTTTCAGGTAAGTCTCCTTTCTCTCCCTCTTCTTATTCTTTATTTCATAGGTCCTCATGGTTGTATGGCAGCGAAGCATCATTTCAAATGGCTGATGTACTGCTGTTGATGATGATAACCGTATGCATCCAGTCACTGATATTTTGCCTCCTTTCCCCGATCCGATAGACATGGACCCAACATGCTACTCTCTCTCTCTGCATCACCGATTAATTTCTTTGCTTTTGAACTTCGCACCACCCTGTCATGATGTGAGCGCACGTTCCCCTGCCAACATATTCTTTCTATTTGTATGGATTGGTCCTGGTTTTGTTGCTCACAATACAAAGTGAACCATGACTTAACCGTGCTCTCATTTTGAGTTTCGTACCCTAGTGCGTTGGAACTGTTAACAGGATAGAAACTACTCAGTCTATGAATCCATGTAGGTAACAATATTCCATATCGTATCGGTGTGCCATCGAACTGGCCTGTTTTTCTAGTTCACAAATGGATGAGTTTTATTCGATTTTGCACAGTTCGCCCATACCTATTCCTCCATGTGTTGTCAGGTTGTATATTGCCAAAATCTTGTCTTTTTGTCCCGGCTGTTCATGTATTGGCTACATTGAGCATCCGATATGCAGAGTTAAATTTCAACGTTTAACTGAAATGCATTTGGTATTTCAAGTCGCGATGTTGTTCTATCCAGCGGCCACCACCATTCAAGAAAGCGGTTTATGGCCGTCTCGTCAGCAGTAGATTTACCATCACCTATGTTCTTCTACTTCTGAATCTACGACCCACCGCTATGTAACTGACTGACGTACTTTGAGTATGCAGACGACATAGCTCTCCTTGGGTCTGCCGCAGTGGCTATGCCATCACTACTGAATAGACTGACGCGTAGCGCTGCACGCTTGGACATGTGCTTAGCACCTACAAACGCAAACTGTTGTTTCGGGACTGAGCCGACACACTTCCTTTTTTAACTGTCACCGAACAGCCACTGGAAATTGTGCATCGGTTCACTTGGTAACTGTGCCACCTCTAGTGGTCACATCACTGATTACATTACTTCGCGTATCGGTAAGGCCCGTATGGCTTTCCAGAGACTGAACCATCTATGGAGTAGGCGGTAGTCAGTCTATCAGTGAAACGTAGGGTGTGTAACGCCTCGATAAGGCCGGAGTTACTACGTGGATGAGAGACCTAGCCAATTCGTGGCGATGACATCAAACGCTTCGCCGTGTTTGAACACTGTACGGTTGCGCATTATTGCTCACGTCTGATGTGAACATCGGCCGAATGTTGCTGAGCTCCACACCAGGTGGTTTTTTGACAAAAAACACTCTGGTGTTTCACTCGAGTGTTCGCTAACCTACAATATCGTGCGTTGACTACCTCATATCCTTCATATACCCATCGAGTAGCTTCCTCAGTGCGCATTATATCATCGTTATCATTATACACGTCAGCTAGATTTGGGAAACACCTCAGCTACTGTGCCGCAATACATAAATGAAAAAGGAAAATAAATACAGTTGCATGCCAGCTGAGCTACCAGCAACGGATAGGCATCGTTCCGGTAAGCTACCAGCCGGCTACTAGGCAAAAAGAAAAATTATTATGTTTTACACTAAGAAATAAGGTAGTAATTGGAGGGGAGGCTAAAAGGGATGGGGAGGGACAAAGAAACTCACAGCAGGAACGCCACTGAGGTCGGCTCCTTGCCATGTCAGCAAGTGTATCCAGCCAAACGTGTTCACCGTCTTTTGGACCCTAACCAGGGAGCCGTGAAGCTCCAACCGAAGCTAGCTCCGAAGTGAGGGACTTCATTCCTCTGGACCAAGTCATCGCTTGACCACCCCTCCTCTTCTTCTATCCACATCCCCGGCGCGCAAACAACACACGTCGTGGAAGTCGATGGGCTGGCATCCGCAACACGTGGCCCAGCCATCGGAGCCTGGTGCGTGTAATGACGGCGCTGAGCGTTTCAGTTCCTTTCTCTGTGCTCTGCGCATTATATGACTTTGTAACACCAAGTTGGACTCTATTGCAATATGATCAATCGATGACGTGGCATACATTCATGAAGAAATTGACTGAGAAACTTGTTTATACTGCGCCCCTGGATGGTATACACCAGTGGTTGTAGACCATCTGACATTGCGCAGTTGTGCAGTCAATGGCGTTCCTGTATTCACTTTCTTATGTCCAGCTGTTAACTTTCTATCCCGATTAGTTTAATGCATTTTGCATTCAACCTCATTTTCTTCAGGTTGTCTGTTGTTAC